GATTGATGCGAGGGTCACGCGTGGGTCTACTCAGGCTCAAAAATTTTAATTTCGAAACCAACCACCACGCGAGGCAATTAGAGGATCATATACTCCGAACTCAGCCTTAATGCCTCTCTCTCTCTCTCTCTCTCTCTCTCTCTCTCTCTCTCTCTCTCTCACACACACACACACACACACACACACAGACACACAGGGAGATTATGAGAGTCATGGCAAAACAACGGGAATGACAACGTGGCCACTTGCCAGACAATAGGTAGGACATCAAGTAAGCATCTGCAAGAAGGTTTGTTGATAATCAATGATTAGGTAAAAGAAGACAAAGCTGGTAGGTAAAAGCAGATGTGAGCACGGATGGTGACCCAACAAGGGGCGAGCCTTAGCGCATTTCAATCCAGCTTTGCACTTCTCAACGTGTCTACCCCTCCCTCTTGGTTGCATGCTCTCTAATGCTTCTTATCTTATAGGATCATTATTACAAAAGTTGACCATATGTTTCCTATTTGCTTTATCTAGTGTGCAATTATGTGTACAAGACTACCTTCTATAATTGTATATAGAGACCATACAATTTTTGTAATTGTATCTGAATTTTTAATTTAATATGGAAAACTCTACTGCATTCACCTCACCTTGCTTTCTTATTTTTCTCTCTACCTATTGTCTGGCAAGTTGCCACGTTGCCGTTCTCGTTGTTTTGCCATGACTCTTGAATCTGTCTTGTCACGTCTAGCAGCATTGACCCTTCAGATGCCCCATTGCCTTTTTCCCTTGTTCAAATGCGTCTTGTTCGAGCGTCTCTCGTTTGAACCTTCTGCTTCATTTGAACGGGCATCCTCATTCGAATTTCCCTTTTTGAATGATGCTCATTCCGATTGCCGTCTCTCTCTTTATTCAAACAATTCGATTGATTAATTGCTTCGAAGGGCGGGTTATGACATACGGCTGAAAGATTTTGTAACATATCTTACTTATATTTATAGATAATACATATCTTTTTCTATTTAAAGACAAAACTTCCTTTCAACCCAATCATACCTTCTATCAACAAGATTCTATTTCACCGGGAAATTTAAGGGGCATTTTGTACAAGTCATTATAAATTTTAGGATTTTTTTAAGAACAAAAAAATTAAAAGTTATAAAATTCTAAAATTTCTTTCTTACAAAAAAAAAAAAAACCCACGTATTAAACCCAAAAACCCGAATGTAGTAATCCAAATTTCTTTGAAAATTTTAAAATTTTCTTTTAAATTAAATTAAATTAATTCCTTCTTTTATTTCAACAATTTCCTTTTTTATTTTGATTTTCCAAAATCATTTCTAAATTATATAAAATTTTATTTTTTTACATTTTAGTGGAATTTGTACGCCCACGAATTTTTAGAAAAATCAAGGGGAAAGAATGGCCTTTTTATATATGAAATATGAGGGCAGTCTCATAATTATCATGACATTGAGGACATGGTATTAATCAACATTGTTGGAGGGCATATTGGTCTTTTCACAATTTTAGTAAATCAACCATTGAGGACAAGCCCACTATTTGAGTTAAAAGGCAGAGGGGCAAATTGATAAAAATACATTACCAATTTTTATGACTGATATTCCAACCCAGAAACCCAAAAATTTTGAACAAAACAAGGGCAAATGGGAAAGAAGAAGCAGGAGACACGCTCAAGCACGGAGAAAGGAACGAAGAACACAAAACATATAGAAACTCTTCTTAGCTTCCAACCTTTTATTTCACTCAAGGATTACAAGGATTCGCCTAGATTTACAAAGATTCTCTCCCTCCACACTCGTTGGTCCTTGAATGCTCCCTCTGACTCAATCGAGGCATCCTTTTCTAGCTCTCGCAAAAGCCAAGAAAATCAATTCAAATATATCCAACTCTTCAGCTAACATCCCTAGCTGATGGGCCTCAATCTTCACAACTTGATCCTCACTCGCATTTGGCTTGAATCTATGCTCGATACAGACTTGTACGAAACCCAGATCTACTGTAGATAAGCTTCAATCTCATTTGCAAATCCGTTTGATCCCAACATCCTCGAGCTTTCGGCCATGGTTGCCAAGATTCTCCCTTATCCAAATTACTCGGTCGAGGATCCTCTGCGCATAAATCTCCAAAATCCCAGAACTTTCTCTGGCGCTCGACTACTCTGTTCGAAGCCTCGTGATTTCCATTTGCTGGCCTTTGATTAAGCTTCCTTGGCGTCGACTTGCTTTTCCAGACTCTGATGACCTTCTTGGGAACCCTGGTCCGTGTCGTCGATGTCATCCAGCTCCTCTGGCCCAATAGATTTGTCCAAGCTTCTACAGAGAAGCCCAGAAGCTTCTGCTTTCCCTAACACAGTCACACGACCCAAGTTTCTCCTTCCTTAACTGACCCCGGCTCATTTTGGTCTAGGCTTGATCGGCCTAGGTTGGCCCATTAAGGTGACCCAAGCCCACTAGTTAGAGCCCCGTCCAAGTCCAGCCCCTGTTATTCAGGCCTAGTCACTGGTCTAGACCCAACTCTTTTGACCCACTAACCCAAGTCCAATTTTGCTATGCCTTGGCCAACCAGCCCAATTTCTCTTAGCCCATTTCTCTGGCTCTCTTGAACTGAGGTGGTTCAATCTCTTGAGATGGCAGGTTCCACCCTTAATCTAGTTGAGAAAGGGTATTTAATTTGGACTTGCCAAACCCTGAATTAAAGGGACCATTATTTTGATCAATTTGGAGTCATCCTCTTAACAAAAGGCCTTTTTCTTTTACAAGTTATTTTTTATTAAACTTATTTTTCTTAAATATTTTATAAAAAAAGTCTTGCGATTCAGCTATTTTTTATAAGTAATTTTTGCTTATATACTTATAGCTTAATTATGCCAGGAAGTGGCAACTAGTTTTTTTTTTTTTTTGGTTACAAGTGGCAACTCGTTTGTTTTTTTTAAGTAAAAGGACTTTCTTTATTTTAAAATGTTAATGTCGTGATAAACTTTAAATGAGAATCCTTTCTGATAAAAATAATCTATGGTGCGCAATACTAAGCTGCAAAAACTTGAAATGATTTCACCACAATAAAAATTTATTGACATATATTAAAACTAGTAAAATTTTTTTAATATTTGTCAAGTTATGAAATTACTATTATTAGCTCTAATAATTGTTGCATATATTTTTTATTTGAACACAAGATTATTTTTATCATTATTTATGTGAACACAATTTTTCTAATTCAATTTTAAATTTTTAAAAGTTTGAACATGATAGAAAAGTGAATGATACTAATCAATAAATTAAATAAAAAATAAATCAATTCCAATTCTCCCAAGCAAAGCCTATGGTCAAAATAATTAATAAATTCTCAATACCCTCACCCCAATCCTAAGCTTCTTACTTGTACTAGTCTCTAGAAAGATAAACATTACCATAATTTCAAACCTATTTGATAAACAATTCAATCCTTATCTTTCTAAATAAATTCAATCTTATCTCAAATTATAAATAAACTTAGCCATTATCTTTTTACCATTCTTATTTGTCACAGAAGATAATTCAATTAATTTTTTAAATTTTTTAAGACAAAATTTAAAATCATCCCCCGGAGAGCATTAGAAGCACTGGTGCCAAACTAATTCTTCGAGATTTATCAGATCCATTAAACCAACCTACTATTATCAACTAACTGAAAAACGAAATCAGTACATTTCATTCATGATTGAATTAAACATCCTCCTCAGTAACTCCTATTTATCAAAATCACCCAATGAAAAGTAAACAAGTAACATGAATATAATTTGTATAGTCGGAGTTTTGTCTATATTTAGTCCCTTAGAAATGAAATGTGCCATGGCTTAAATATTGACATATATTTTGATCCTCAAAGCATTCGAAAATTTTTATCTTTGCGTCCAGTTCAGGGGGGGCCGGGACATCCTATCATTCTAAAATTTAATTCAAACGTGTAATTTTGCAAATAAGTTAGATGTCACCCATATCAAATGCTTGAAGGCAGAAGAATTCTCACCAACCAGACCCAGTAATACAATATTGAGACTAAACACATGATACATGATGTGGAATCATGCTTCAGTCATTACTGGGCGATGAGAAGAAAACGATGCATGAACTCCACTGTTCAGCGTCCTCTTATTATCATACAGCTGTAGCGAACAACCATTAGCACAGGAATTTAGAAATCTACTGGTGTGACTTCTGGGAAGAAAGCTTGTGTTCTGTCATTCCATATTTTGTATGAGAAAACGAAGAAAAAGTAAGGACTAACAAGCATGGATGAATATGCTAAGTTACACATAACAGCTGCTGGAAAAGGTCTACACAAGGGTATCGTGGATTGGACCAACTTGGCAACATCACGAGCTTTAGTAGAACTGCGTCCTGAGTTGGCAATTGAATTTTATAAAAGATATAACGTAACACAATTATTGCAATGTCACCTCCAGATTGTTCCGCCATTACTTTGTGATCATAACCTGTTAACAGTCCAACACAAATTTGTGACGATTGCCAGGCTTCCTTTCCCAGAGGTGAGCCAAACCACTCATCTTGACCCAAATAGCCAGACTAGAAGTTATTCCAAAAAGTGAATATCAAACCCGCAAAGCTTTGCAAAGCTTCTAGGATGGTAACACTTGTAACTTGACCTCTTACTTCCTAGATCAAGAATAAACCAAAACGCCAGTCATCTGATTCAGTGCAAACAAGAGGAAGATCAACGATTGCTTTGTACACCTGTCCCAAAGCAACACTATGAGAAATTGTGTCAGAAAAAATGAAATTTATACAAACTCTATCATCTTAAACATAGGCATCTCCCTTAGTGCCACTAACAATTTAATATTTAATGATCTAGTTCAAAAATGATACAAATACACCACCAAAAAATAAAATAAAACACAAGAAGGGTCTACAAATGAAATAAAACTTTTTAATTCTTCAATCATTAATAAAAAAAGACACTAATAAACTCAAGTCAAAATTAAGTGACCTTCAGAGTAGGAGGCCATCAATATTGCGTTTCCCTTCCGGACCCTTAGTATACCATGATGAGACATAATCACCATACATAACCTGGCGGTACCGAGGAGGAGAAGAGTCACTGATGAGCTTGGAAGCTGGGGATATTGTCCTTGTCTTTGCAGGATCATGAAAGGTGGCAACTGAGAGTCTCGCATTGGTAGAATTTGTTATAGCCCGATGCACAGCACTTCTATATTTTCCATTTGTTATAATCTCAGTTTGATCAGCCAAAATGACGACAACGGCTTCAGATAAAGGATTAATATTTACCCACTCATTATCCTTGAGAACCTGGAGGCCACTAACATCATCTTGAATGAGAAGGGTAATTGCACCCATGTCTGAATGTGCTTGCAAACCTAGGGTGAGCTCAGGTTGTGGACAAGGTGGGTAATAGCTGATTGTGATGTTCTGGTAAAAATCTCCAACAGCCTCTCCAATCTGTGAAGAAGGAAGGCGTAGACTCTCTGAAATCAGTTTCAAGAGCCTCTGAGCAAGGGCTTCCATGTGATCACTATACTCCAAGACAACATCTCTGTAATTAGGGGGAAAGTTGGGCCAGTGTGAGGGGTTGCGGCGTGAAAGAGGCAGAGTGTGATGATCAAAGTAATCCCTCCAGTCCAGAACCGTGTCATTGGAAGAGACTAACATGCGGCTTCCATAGCCTTCAGAAGCAAAAGAATTGGGTTCGTAGGAGTAGTTCAGCTTCTCAGCCATGGGACAGTCCTCAAAGAAAGTGATGCCAATTTTCCTCATACCATCCAGCAACTGGATGGGAACACCATGGTTTGTTACGTGAAATGCACCCCATTCTTGGCAGGCTTGTCCCAACACTCTATGGACATCACTTGTGGAGCCACTGAGGTCAACTAGTGGAATACTTTTATCAGAAGCCAAGGTGTTTGGACATGGTAAGACATTGGGACGGCAATCTGGAGGTTGTATGTATTCAGGTGGCACCTGTGCTGTACCATTTTGGGCTAGGGATTGGACTCTAATTTGATTCCCAGCAACTTCCATTCAGATTTTAACCAGCAAATCAATTCTACTCAACCTGTCACTCCAACTTTGCCAAGCAGGGTAAACTTATGTCAGTTGAACAGCAAGATGATACCTGGTCAAACAGGACCAAGCATATGATGGCAAAACTGATACTATCACTGCCACTAGCCACTGAAAGAAGCCTTCCTGAAGAAGAAAATCATCTTCCCCAGCTAGAACTTTTTCTCGTTCTTTGATTCGGAAAAGCCCGCAAATGCATAAATACACATCTCTAAAAACTGCTAATATTTACACCTTCAATTAGAAGAAAACTTATAGACCAAAATGTATACAGATCTATATAAGCAAATTCTGTGCAGTACTTAGAACAAGATGAAATTGTGAAATTTTCCACCACTATTTACTCAATGCAGATTGTATATCAACTGATTAAAATACAATATCAGAATATTTCGCTTATGGAGCATGCTTTTCAATATCAGATACTTTGTCCGCATCACAAAGATGAAGATAAACTAGCTGATTAGTAAACACTGAACACAATTTCAAGAGTAGGTGATTCATCTATTACCTTTTAGAAATGAGACACTTCATGGAATATATGTTAGCATCAACCATTGTGGTGCTTGTGACATTTGAAACATTTTATACCTTTCAGTTCAGTTCAGGTATTTTGATAAATCCTATCATTTCGCATTTTAATTAAAACATGTGTTTGAATATTACTCTCCTAACATATGCTAAAAAGGCAGTCAAGCAAGAGAATGCTAACAACTAGGGGACCAGTGATCCAATACTGAGATTGAACACAGGGTCCTCAATGTGGAATGATGCTTCACTCTCATTAGGTGATGGCAAGAAACTGAATTAAGAGCTCTCACCCTTCAAGGTTCTCTCATTATTATATCGCAACAGCGATCAAGGAAATACTACAAGTGCATGTATTTAGATATCTAATTTTATAACCCCTGGGAAGGTAGCTTGCGCATTATCATTAAAATTTTCATTATTTTGTATTTAACAAGGCTAGAATATATCAATCTCAAAATGCAAAAAACAAAGAGAATAGCAATGCTCACTACTTGCATTACTGCAAAGTGATGGGGAAAATATTTTATACAAAATTAAGAGTTTATGGCCAAGGGATGAAAAGAAAAAATTGTTGAAAATAAATAAAAGTTTTGAAAGAGTCCTTTCAAACTATATACCTTCTTTAGCCTTTACAAGGCATAATATCGAATTTCTAAATTCCAACACATCTTCAAGTTCAAACAGTGCACTTATGACTGAAAAAGATTGCTTTTCTGTTCAAACATTATTAGATATGATAGAGTGACCACAGAAACATATAAGCAACAGAGAAAGCCACGGCTCCACAGCATGAAGCTCCCATCATTATAGGACCTGTAACAGATCCAACATACGCAGCCTTATACCAACATATAGAAAGAGGTGCAAACCAACGAAACAGATCAGAGCACAACTAAGAAAATCTTTGGTTCAAGCTTTGTCCAATGAGAATATTAGTGAGATTTATGAGTTTGAAAATGTTGTCTCAGACTCAGCTATATAAACAAATTAGTTTCAAGTGTAATCAATTAAGTCAGCTCCTTGCAAAGCTCAAGCTCAATCTAAGCTCACTTGAACTTGAAACAGCCAAGCTTGAGTTCCATAAAATTAAGTTGATCTCTGGCTTACCTAATACTAAAAAGAACAAAGCTCGAGTACAGTCAGGTTCAGATTGGATCATTTGTAGCCTCACATATACCTAGGTTGTTTTATGTGATTCGGAAGACCAGAACAGGCTGACAGCAAAATCATACTGAAGCCACAGTCCCCTACTATTGTGCCAAGAAAAACCTGCAAAAGCAGGCTATTTTCATAAAACATGGAGCATTAAAAACAATCAGAATAAGCATGGCCACTTGAATGTTGAGAGACCGAAGGCAGCTTATTTATTATTACTGGGCAGTGCACATATTAAAAATAAGCAAATCTAAACCAGAAGCCAACAGAGATCTTATGCTAACTTAGAAACAGAAGCCAGAGAAAAGAAAAATGTGAACTAGTAATGAGAGTTAAAAACTAGAGAATTTAGTCATATTAGTTGTGTTAAGAATAAAGATTCAAAAGTTTCAGTGCAAGATAAGGAAATTAAACAAAAGTATATGAATTATAAAATTATTATATGAGAAATAATAAAGAAAATTTACTTGTCAAAGAAAGTATAGGTAGAAGAAATAATAAAAAAAAAACCTGGGATTTTTCATAGAATTAGAGTGTCCAGAGTTTGGAATAAGCTTTGGTAAAGCATGAAATAGGACGAGATCTAGGACCAAATGGATTGCTATAGAAGCTGGGAAGTTCTTAAAGATGCCAGCATAAATTGGTCAACAAAATTTTTTTAAGATAAATGAATAAAAGGTATTTTCAGTACTTAGATATAAAAAACAAGGGAATATTATAGATAACACAAATAGCAATATTCCAATTATTAAAGACATGTCCAATGAGGCTATGACCCTTGTAGAACTCTAGTACGGAAACTAGCAATGTTTTAGTTTTTGTATGTTTACATTGAGGATCAGCATTTAACCTTTTAATTAATTATGGATGAATTGACTAAAACAGCAAACAATAAAATCCTGTGGTGTATTTTTTTGCAAATGATATTACTTCAATTAGTGAAACCATACAAGGCAAATGCTATATTAAAACTTGTCATAGAAAATTAGAGCCAAGAGTCTTCAAGATAAGCAAAACAAAAAATGAAAAACTGAATATATGAAGTGCAACTTCAGGGAAAAAACACACACACACACACACAAGGAAGGAATACTTATTATTGAATAAGGAGAAATATCAATCAGTTGGGTAGTTTTTTGGTCAAAAGTAACCACACACTAAAAAGCAAGGATAGGGAAATGGTGTACAACATGATATGGACATTGACACACCTACATGGCAACTTTTAGAAAATTATGACATGGACATGATGGCGAGATGGCTAAAAGATTTGAAGTTCTTAATATTTATATTCACTATATTTATAGCTAAAACATTTTTAAATAACCAAAACTAAGATAAATACCCAATAATCAAATTGATCCAGTCAACATGAACCGAAAACCACCATAAAACAATTATTCATTTCCTTTATTACCTAATTGTCTATGATATATGCATTTACTTTCATGATATTCTGACAAAAAAATTAATGTTGGGGAATCTTATTCAATATAGAAACACCTGCATTTGAGCATTGGGATAAGGGTGTCCGAAATGAAAAAAAATAAAATGAAAAATTAAACATGCCATAGCATGTCCAATAGGTGTCTTAATGTGTTCATGAAGTATGTCAGATGTGGACATGTCACACAAAATGGAGTAATTGCGCTTCCTTGTTCACACATAACAAGGAAGAGGTTGGTGTAGAAGAATTATGGATAGGTGCACCAAGAATGCAAATCCTTTAGGACTTTTACATGATCAGCGAATACACATGAAATTAAAGGAGAGATAGTAGAAGATAATTATATGGCAGGATTTACTTGATGACACAAAATGTTAGGCAGTCGAAAAAAAAAAAAGTAAAATTAGTGTAAAGGAAAAAGAATATCACGATGGATGTGCGATAAAACTAGAAAGCATAGACTTAAAAATGACCACACTTGTGGTTAAGATAGCACCTATTCAAAATGAAATAGGAGGAGATGGTTTGAACGTTCACAATGTGCAACTTATATTTATGAATGCTTTAGGTAGGAAAAGTGATGCTATTTAAATTAAGGGAAATAATGAAAAGGATTATACAGATCAAAGTTAGCATGGGCTGAGATATTGAAAAAAGATGTAAGTTATTATGGTTTAACTGAAGGATTTAACAAAAGACATGACGAATGAGAGAGCAGAATGGATGAAAGTATTCAACTACATGGCCCCATATAGTTGGAAGAGTAGAATGGATAAAGATTCATGTTGCTGACCCCACAATGATAAACTAATATAAACAAATTGATCAACATCAGCTAAAATTTCAAGATCTGTTAGAAGTTTCTCAACTACAAAGTGGATTAGAATTATACAATTGAGAAAAGGAGCTTGACAAGAACTTAGTTGTACAAGAAAATGCCATAATGCAAGATCAACATGACATAACATTTACACTTTCAATTTGAATGTTGGACCAGCTCAGGAAAATAAGTACACATATATTCATGCCTAAGGAAATCATATCACCCACTCAACAGGTAGACAAGCATGGGCAAATATACTAATATACATTTAGAGAAATAGTTACTGAAGTTCTATTCCCTTAAGCCCTTCAAAAGTGTTCTTCCCAAACAGAGATGGTTAGAAATGGCAGAAATTCAAATGCCATTCTTCTTTAATCTAACCTTATAAAGGTGTTCTACTTGGAGTAGAAATAGTTACATTATCAAGAATTTCACAAATCAAAGCAATAATGTCCGAAGTCTAGAAATTTTTTTATTGGTTGGAAAACTACAAAAAAAAAAAAAAAAAAAAAGAAAAAAAAGAAAGAAGAAGAAGTAAAACTACCCTTTTCAAACATCAGTTATCCGCTATGTCACTAAAAATACCACCCAGACAAACATATTTTTTTCTGTCATATCCTTAGACAAATCATAACCCTTCACTTTCCAAATGAAAGGGACATGACTATGAATTCAAAGCATGCAGCACAAAATAATAAAATAAAATAAAACAGCAAAACACCTGCTAATTGCACGATGACCAAATTATTCAAAGTAATTTTAAATATCTATTGTATCCTTTAAATAATTACCTACAAAGTAAAAAAAAAGGCCTGAAGCAAGAAGAATATAGGGATTGAGAGTGTAAAGAAATGGGAAAGACAAGAAAAGAAAAGCCAGAAAAAATAGAAATCGAATAGAGAGGGGAAAGATAGAACTGGTGGAGAAGGAAGACGATGCAAACTTAATCACAAGGAAATAGTGAGAGATGTATTTAAAACCAGATCTGTTATTAAACTAGTC